TTGGGATTTTGTGTTCTTTAAGACCAAATTAGGAAGAGAATATGTTGGACCACCAACAAAATAAACATGGGAGTAAAAAAAATATATTTGATTAACAGTCACTAATGAACGTACAAATCCTCGTGCTTTCACTGAATATGAACATAACTTTAAAGTCACAAAGACATCTTAGTATCACTCAATAATATATTATAAAGCAACTGAACCAACTAGACATTCTCAAAACATTCCTGGGGCTAGACTTGAATTCTTCCACCCTTGTTTTACTCAGAACAGAAATTTCTGGTGGAATTTGATCAAATAAGACAATATTATCAGATATAGATTCATGACTCTATTTTTTAAAATTACCTAGATACTCTATAATAAGATAAGGATGCTTACACAATTTGGAGAAGATGCATTAAAAGTGCAAATATTTTCAGTTAGATTCTTCAGTTGTGGCAAATGACAAGAAAAGAAATGTGATTTTTATAAATGAGAATGAGGCACAACCTCCTCTTAAATATGAAAATATGACCAGATTGCTGTGAAGAGATGATGAAATCTACCTTTATATTTTAGAAAATTTTGCATCCTCCAATTATCATAGCTTACTAGCTTATAAAGACAACCTTAAATGAAGTTGAGAAACAAGAATCTATCACTTTCAAGAATCAGAAAGTGAGTGTTTTCTATTACTTTGTGTGAGAAGTCTTAGCTATGCTCCCAGGGCTGAACTATGTACATAGAGAAATCATGGACCTACAAAATCATCTGCCTCCCTAAAGAATTAAGCCACACTCCTAGAATTATGCCCAGAAAGAGATGACTGACCAGCTCTCCCAGTAGCCATTTCTCTAAAGACCAAAGTAACTACAAAACTCAAGAGAAACATGCTTTAGGATGAGTAGCCTGTAGCCATATACCCACATACAACCAGCAAAGTTTTAAAAGGATTTCAAGTGTTTTTAGTTCTGAACAAAATCCTAGGCAAGAATCTCTGTTTGCGATATGGGCAGGGGATTCATTCTTCATTTCCACAGAGAATATGCTGATTATTTTCCCTGCTTTCAAGTCAGTTCTCTTCTTGATTTTCTGATTTCTTTTAGTAACAGTGAGACACCATAGTGATTAAGAATATAAACACTGGAATTGGACCAGGTGGGTTATAATTTGACCTTGGTAAGTCATCAAAACCCTTGGAAATTCTGTTCTTTCATCAATAAAATGAGGAATAGAATAATACCTCACGGGGTTGTGGTAAAGATTGAATGACAATTTAATGGGCTTAGTACAGAAATCTAGTATTTGATAAGTTTGACAAATATTTAGTATTGCTATTAAGGGCACCACCATTTTCCCAATTTTGGATTCCCAGTCATTTAAAATAGTAGACGATGGGGTGCCTGAGTGGCTCAGTCAGTTAAACATCCACCTCTTGATTTAGGCTCAGGTCAGGATCTCAAGTTTCTGAGATCCACTCCACTCTGAGAGGGTGGAGTCTGCTTAAGATTCTCTCTCTCCCTGTCTCACTGCCCCTCCCTGATTTTTGCTCTCTTTCTAAAAATAAGCAAACCTTAAAATAAATGCATAAATAAAATATTAGAAGATGAACCACTAAATTCTATTCTTGAAACCAACATTACACTATATTTATCTAACTAGAAATCACATTAAAAACTTAAAGGAAATAAAGAAAATAGAATTAATTTTTCTAATTTTCTCTTTCATATGATTTATTCCTACACCAGACCTTGTAAAGTATGGTTCCTAAATATCTCTGGAAGTTACCCTTTTATTTTTAATGTTGCAATCATAATGCACTCTACCACCTCTCACCTGGAATATAATAGTGTCTCCTAACTGGTTTTCCAATACATCTTGCTGTCAGGTTAATCTTTCTAAATAGAATGCTAAATAGGTATGAAGCAACTGCAGGTGAGCTAAGAATTTAAACATTCTTAGTAACACTGTGGGTAGAACTACTCTGCTGGTTTGAAGAATTGCTATATTATATTCCACAGCACATGACCAATGTTTACACTGCAAAAACTGGGGAACTCAAGACAAATATGTCATTGCTGTGGTTTCAGTGGTGCTATGTTTTATAAGTGAAAAAATGTGTCTGTTTTTTTCACTACCATTTGCATGACCAATCACAGAAGAAGGCAGTAGACACTCAGTAAATATTTGATGAACAAACAAATGAATTAATGAATGAAATAGTATCATAAAAACCAATAGTAGCCTTGCTTTCATGTGGTTAAATGTTTGGTAATTTCAGACCCTTCAGAGAGAGTTGACATCCAATTGTACACCATGTTCCATTCAGCTCAAGTTGTGATAATTTAGTCATTACCTGGTTTCATCTGAGAACAAGGAAGTCATTTATAAACTTGAATGGTGTGTATTCAGACATGATTTACAATGTGAGCTGGAATCAACATGGCAGCCAAATCCTCAGTTTCCAAAGATAAGAAAGTTAAAAAAATTGATTCTAAGAAACAAGAAGTTGTTGCTGGGAAGAAGAAAGTATAACAGGGAGTTTAATCAATGAGAACTATTGTTTAGTAGATGGAGATATGTTTACTGATTGTTTCATCTCAATAAGCAAGTGGCATATTTTATTTTGAAATTCAAAAAGCATGCAAGAACTATTTACCTTTCCTGAAATAGACATTAACAATGGGTGTTGTTGTTAGTCTATGATTCTATCACAAATATTACTTATTTATATTGAAAGAGTAAGAGAAGTATCTGCTAAATCAAGACTATGCCTGCATCGTATATATTCAACAGCAGCAAAGTTTCTTAGAGCGATATGGGTGATATTTCTAAAAGGGAGGATGGCTTAACAAATAGAAGATGGCCAAAATTTTCAAAATCCAACAGAGACTTTAGATAGCAATTTATGTGACTATTTTCAGAAGTCTGACCCTTTCCAAGATGACATATAGTAGGATATGGTGGGGTATTAAGCAGCTCTAGAAGCTAAGTAATAATTTAATATAAAATATATAAATCATCCTATAACCTTGAAACATAGGTATGCTACAGACTAAAATAAGAATCCTAGTGTAACTGACTATTTTAAGTTCCTATCCTATTCATGATTTAAAAGATGTTTTCTCCTGTATTATACTAAATGATCCTCACAGCAACAGGATGAAAATATTGCACCATTCTGCTGAGGAAGGAAATGAGGCACAAGAAGATGAGGAGGCTTGCTCTATGTCACATAACCAGTAATCAATCACATACACCTTTGGTTGTTATTAAAGTCTGGGTCCATTCGTCTGAAAAATGGAAAGAGTCCCTGTTCCTTCTGCCTGACCACATTTCAGGGAAGATACACTAAGATAATATAATACATTACTATCTTATCCAGCACCTTGCTCTTGATAAGTAAATGTGTAGGAGCAACCATTTGTTCAGCCATCTGTGTGGTGTGGATAATGGGGACAAACTGGCACAGAACCTAGGCTGAGTTGTCATAAAGGTGATGGCAAGCATAAAGTAACTGTAAAAAGAAATATCTTGGGAAGATAAGATTTCCATAGCCTACACTGAAGGTTGCTTGATAAATGTTAAATTATAATGGCCAGACTTGAAGAAGAATAAGTCAACAAAACAAAACAAAAGAAAACACAATACCAATATCCCTAAGGAAACTTGAACATGTGGCCCTGTGTAAGGCAAGGCTCCCCACTATTCTCCATGTACCTTCCTGTCTGCACCTTATCAGAGAAAATTAAGGGTGTCTTAACAAAGCTCCCATAATAGATAACAGGCAACAGGCTTCAGAGTCCAGGAAACCTCAGTGGGGAAAACTCCAACCTGAAGTTTCTTGGACGGAAGGATGGTAACATATTCAAATGTCTTTAATAAGTATGAGGGGATGGAGGATTCTCTACCACAAACTGGATTTTTTTTGTGTGTGTGTTATTGCCTTTATACAACAGATCCTTCTACTGTCTTTGGCAGAAGACTAAGACAGTAACACTACCACCTTTAGTTACTAACCTCCACAGCAAGAATTTCACATAGCGAGGTTGTCTATCAGTTTCACTAATCAGGCAAAACTGACTGTGAAGAAATGGCATGATTATACTAGCTGCACATGTAAATGTTCCAACAATGCTTTCTAACTCATCCCTCTTTGGGATTATTGCTTTTTTCAAGCTTCCACCTCCCTAAATGCATAGGTATACACACACCTTTGCTTTTCTCCCTGCAGATCTCACAACTGGTGGCTGAAGAGAAACGTCTGTACTGACAGCTTATTCTGGTTTCCATGATCTGAGAAAGTGAAAGGTCTGGATTATTGCAGAGATTCACTATGAGATTTCCACCCTCCTCTATGTCATCCTGTCCTACCTGCAAAATGGGGAGTTTAAGAGGCAGAAGTGCTATATTTCTGACTTAGCATTGCTCTGGGTTGGGGAACTGAAATTACAAAACAAACAAATGCCAAGAAAGAAAACAAGATGATGAGAGAATGAACCAAGTATCTATAAACAGATTTCTGTGTTCTTTAAAGGGAAGATATTATTATAAAGGTACACAATAGTCATGGACTGTGCTTTTGGGACCTGTGTGAGTGCAGAGCTGAGGGAGATTGAGTTGATGCCAAGTTACAGTTCCTGGCCCCATAGGGGGCCAGGCTCAGGTTTGGGAAAACAAAATCAGACTCCTTGGCTATTGTGGCCTGGACAGAGGCATAAAAACACAACACAGCAGGCTTTCTTCCTGTCTTGCTCTTATCTGAGGGTGCAGAAGGTGGGTGGGAGCATGCCTGTAGTGCAGGTGAGGCACTTCAAGCCCCAGCTGCCCATGGGCTCCACCTCCCCTTCTCTTTCCTCTTGCCCCCCCCATCCCAGCATTTGGACCCCTTCCCATTCCTCCCTCAGCCCCTCCCTGGGCCCTCCCACCGTCTCCTACCCAGCTTGGGACTGCGTCATAAGTATCCCCAGACCTGGGTTTGCAGCTGCTTAAGACAGCCGAGGGAGAAAGTAGGGCCTGTTAGGGCTAACGCGATCTCTTCTTTTTACAACCTGCAGCCCAAGACGCTGATTCCAGCCGCGCCTTATCGCGTGGCCCAAAGATTCACGATGGTGAAAATAGCCTTCAACACACCCACAGCCGTGCAAAAAGAGGAGGTGCGGCAAGACGTGGAGACCCTGGTAAACCGAACGGTTGGAGCTCAGATCTTGACCCGAAAGGTAGCAGTACCCACTTCACCCCAGACTGCCTACTAGGGTCAGTAAGGTGAAGACAAGGTGGCTTGGTGGGTGGAAGGAAGAGGCAATTGACAAAGGACAAAATGAAAGCTGCCCCCTTCACTCTTTATCTGGTTTACCGGTTTCCCCAGTTACCTCTAGTCATGCCACCTTCAGCCTGCAGTTCCCCACGCCCCTTAACATCCCTGTGCATCGCAGTACTTTCCTTCAGTTCTAGCCCATGTGGTATATCTTGAAGGGATGTTAAAGAGAGTTTGAGGAGAATCCTTGGGACCCGATGTCACCATCTCCTGGGGAACATGTGGGGGGGTCACCGAGAGGGGCACTTTGTTCAGTGTCCAGCTCCAGGGGTGCATAGAGCATCCACAAGGATGGAGCGGATATTCAGGGTGAGCAAAGGGAAGAGATTCAATTGTTCTTTATTTACTTTTGATATGGTAATTTAAGTCTTTCTAGGATCTATGAATGTTTGTGGGTGTGGGGTGTGGGGTGAAGGACAGCTTTGACTCAAAGCGGTATGGATTGGGACTAGTATGTGTCTGTGTCCGCCTTGTGTATATTTTCAATTTCTCCCTAGTCATAGACAGTTTTAAGCATTTGTCAAAGGAGCTGTCAGAATTGAGGTTAGTTTCAAATTAAAATGTGAGATGTTCACTGTAACTTTTTACTGCAAGATCCTTGTATGTTTCCAGAGTGGCATTTCCTAAAGGCAACACTATTCATGCCTAAAAAAAAATGTTGAGGTTTATTTTTTCTTCTTTTAAGTACTTCATTTTCGTGATATCCCTTCTACCTGTCCCCCCCATAGAGAGATCTGAAGCAGGTCTGACCTTGTAATTTAAACTTCTAGCATTGCCAGAAATTGAGGTAGTTTCCCCGCAAAGTGTTAACCATTATTTCTTTAGTCCAATTTCTATTTCCTTTAAACATCTAACAGCTTTCCAGTGTTTGGAAACTACTCATTTTCCTCAGTAAAATCTCAATGTTAAAAGGGACAATTGTATTTCCTTCCTGTTCTACAAAATCTGTGCAGTGTCAGAGTTTCCAGATCTGTCTTAATTTATCTTCTTCTCTTTTTAAAGTTTTAACATATGTGTTCAGAGTGGAATTTAAAAATTTTTTATAATGTTTTATTTATTTCTGAGAGAGAGAGAGAGAGAGAGAGAGAGCAGCGGAAGGTCAGAGAGAGAGGAGTAGATACAGAATCTGAAACAGGCTCCAGGCTCTGAGCTGGCTGTCAGCACAGAGCCCGATGCGGGCTCGAACCCATGAACCGTGAGATCATGACCTGAGCTGAAGTCAGACGCTTAACCGACTGAGCCACCCAGGCACCCCAAGAGTGGAATTTTTAAAAATACTTAGAGTGAAATGAGAATCCATGTAGTAAAACTTATGCATACAATTTGAAATGATTATGTGCTTTTATGTGTTTTTATCACAGAAATTTTTAATATCTGAATGAGCAAATAAACTCGCTTTTGGGTATTATACATTTCAGAGCTCAAAAGTAAAGCTCCTTTGCATTGTTTAGGTCTTGATTAAATGACAGAAGATCAAATATGTAACTGTCCTACTCACTTCGTAAGTGAAACATAGCCAGATTTATTGGGAGGTCTAATTAGATGTCAGTAGTTAAGTATAGCCACACAGTAATCCCTTTATTTTTCTCTCACTACCAAAAACTTCATGACTTGTAGTTGGATACAGTTAATATGCAAGCAGTACTTCTGCCACGCCTGTGGTGTGATGAGGAGTAAACAAAAATGAACATTTGTTCATGAACATGATTATATTTCTTTGTTATGTGTTGGAGAAACTTCCAAAAGATCTTGACCTGGCCACTAAAGGACAATGATTTAATAATACTTGGCACATTATATCATTATATTGTGATGTATTAATCTCCTCATCAGAAACTGAGCACAACTGGGGCGCCTGGGTGGCTCAGTCAGTTAAGTTTCTGACTTTGGCTTAGGTCATGATCTTGCAGTTTGTGAGTTCTGACCCTGTGTCATAGGACTCTGGGCTGACAGCTAGCTCAGAGCCTGGAAACTGTTTAGGATTCTGTGTCTCCCCCTCTCTCTGTCCCTCCCATGCTCATGCTCTGTCTCTCTCTGTTTCTTAGTAATAAATAAACCTTAAAAATGTTAAAAAAAATAAACTTAGCACAACAGAATAGTATGTCAGAGGTTGTACACAATGAATTTAAGATACAGTTTAGAGAGAAATTAGCTATGGTAAATGAGAATCCACACCATCCTGAATTCCAGCTACTTTAAATGAAAAAAAAAATCCTTCTTAGCATGGTAGGGAATTTTTAAATTTTTTTTTTTAATTTCTGAGAGATAGAGAGACAGACAGCATGAGCAGGGGAGGGTCAGAGAGAGGGGGAGACATGGAATCTGAAACAGGCTCCAGGCTCTGAGCTAGCTGTCAGCACAGAGCCCGACGCAGGGCTCGAACCCATGAACTGTGAGATCATGACCTGAGCCGAAGTCAAACACTTAACCAACTGAGCCACCCAGGTGCCCCAGGAATTTTATTGAATTGAAACTCTAATACTTAGACCTTGCTTAATAATAAATGAAATTGCGGTGTAAATTGCTCTTCTCACAATGCAGTGACCAGAAAAAAAAAAAAAAAAAGAAATTCATGTTTTGAATGTTTCAAATTAAGTCATTTTGTGACTTATGGGCAAGTCACTTCATCTCTCTGGACCTCAATTTAATCATTTAAAATATAATTTCTAAGCATTTACTCTAGATTACTGTGATTTACAATCATAACTTATAATTCTATTTTTGTAATGTTAATTTTAGGTTAGGTTTTTAATAGAAATAATTTACATTTTCAGAAAACTATTAGGACAAGTAACAACCTTCAAGGGTTATACAGTATTAATGGAAGGTTTCAATTTAAATGAATTCAGCTAAGAAAATGTGAATACCAAATTTCTTTGAATTTTATTTTATTTTATTTTATTTTTTTCTTTTTTATTTCTTTTATTTATTTCTGGGAGAGAGAGAGAGACAACGTGAGCAGGGGAAGGTCAGAGAGAGAGGGAGTCACAGACTGAAACAGGCTCCAGGCTCTGAGCTGGCAGTCAGCACAGAGCCCGATGCGGGGCTCGAACCCACGAAATGCGAGATCATGACCTAAGCGAAAGTCAGACGCTTAACCGACTAAGCCACCCAGGCGCCCCATCTTTGAATTTTAAAGAAAGATCATTTTTTGACAAACCATTTAGCAAATAATTTTCTCTCCTTAGAATCCGTGTATCTGTTTTCACCCAATTAATTGAAGATTAATTAGGTGTCATAAACTTTATAGTAGTTGTCATGGAAGAGTTAATGGCCTGAAATACTGAAACAACTCTATTTTTACACCAGTCTGAATGATTTACTCACTAATTGCAAGGAACTTGCAATTTGATTTCATTTATTCTATCTTTGAATAGATAAGCAGTGCTGCTTAGAGCATATTGTGGCATAAAAGCATGGGATCAGAGGGTCCTTTGGTCCATTACTTTGGGAAGAATACAGAATCAATCAGTTACTTATTTGCTTTGGATCTTTCTTGTTCCAATTCTTGAACAAATTATGGATTTAACAGAATTTTATTGTTAAACACACAGCTTTTGTGCCCAGCTACCACAAACATTCTACTGTAAAATCTAGTGTTTTACCCCAGAACTTGGAAAACATTATTACATTCATGCTATAAATAATTACAGAGCAATGGGTGATATTAGAAAAACTAATTTCTCACTAAAATTAGGAGCATTATGAAATATATCTCATTTAGAATATTTTAATTTTTAAAATAGGGAGAAATGACATATCTATCTTATAGATCTTCTAAGATAAAACAAAGTTTAAAAACCAGCTTTTTGAAAATCATTTAATAAATCACAAGACATTAATTCACCTTTAAGTTGGCAAAAAAGTTGATTAACAAGAAAGAGTAAAGCAACATAATTATATTCCAGAAAGTTAGTGATTATATCTCTGTAAAAGTCTAAAAACTAACAACTTCCATTTACTGTATTTAAAGAAGGTAATTTATTTCGTAAGTGAATGGTTATTTTCAGCTGATTCTAGAATTGTGTATTTTGAAAAAAACTTTATGTCTGCAGTTGGATTTATGAATACCAGAAAGAAGGTTAATATAATTGGATATTTTCACATCTATTAAATATCAGAAGTTTTCTTAAAATAATTTTTGGTAGAATGGCTTAATAACATCTTTTAAAATTTATCTTGTGTTTCAAGAAAGTAAATTATGTACAAAGCAGCTATGTGACTAGAAGTGCAATCTGGTTTTTGTTTTTGGTCTTGTTTTTTAATAAACAGGAGCTTCAGGTTTCCACCCAGGAAAATGAGGGCTCCTCTGGAAGATGCATGCTTACTCTCTTAGGCCTTTCATTCATCTTGGCAGGATTTATTGTTGGTGGAGCCTGTATTTACAAGTACTTCATGCCCAAGGTAATAATAATTACAATTCTTATAATTTGGATTACTAATTGCCATACATTTAGTAGCAACTTATGTAAATCTGTGGTGGTCACCAGGGAAATGAAGATTTAGAACAAGTTTTCAAATTACCATTCAGTTTCTAAAATTCATTTGTCTTCATGGTGATAACTGTAATCAGAAATCCTCAGCTTACAAATAGTACAATGAATTGATGTGAGTGTGAGGAATGATTCAAATGTCATGGTAGTAAGTACTAAAAGGTTTTAATTCTCTCTTTTTGTTTTTTAGAATACCATCTACCATGGAGAGTTGTTCTTCTTTGACTCTGAAGACCCTGCAAATTCCCTTCAAGGATTAGAGCCCTACTTCCTGCCTGTGACTGAGGAAGCTGACATTCGTGAAGATGACAACATAGCAATCATTGATGTGCCTGTCCACAGTTTCTCTGATAGTGATCCTGCAGCAATTATTCATGACTTTGAAAAGGTGGGTTTCTCACTCCTATAGATTTTCCTGATTTTTTTCTTAGTTCATTAGTGAGCATTAAATCTGTTCATAAATGTACATCTTTTGGCAGCAAAGCTTTTTTTCAATCTTTTGTTATTAAATATACATTAGCAGATTTTAAAACGATGTAGCTACTTGTTCTAACGTAGTTAGAATCTGAAGGATTGATACTCTTTACATCATAGTTAACTTTTCCCTTTCCCCAACAGGGCATGACTGCTTACCTGGACTTGCTCCTGGGGAACTGCTATCTGATGCCTCTCAATACCTCTATTGTTCTTCCTCCAAAGAATTTGGTGGAGTTCTTTGGCAATCTGGAAGTATGTATTTTGGATGTCAAATTTTCATTTAAGCATTTGCTTCCTCATTTAAAAAAAACAATGATTTGAGCCAAAACATTCCATTTTCTTGAAGTAGTTTTCAAATAAAAAGTGTGCTGTAAACCTAAAACTGCTCTAAAAATAAAGTCCATGTTAAAAAAAAAAAAACATATCTGCTATAGGTAAAGAGTTAAATGGTGTTATTATGTTCTTATTTCAATCTTTTTATAAAACTTTAGAGTGGCAAACACCTGTCTCACACTTATGTTGTTCGTGAAGACCTGGTTGCCGTAGAGGAGATTCATGATGTTAGTAACCTTGGCATCTTTATTTACGAACTTTGCAAAAACCGCAAGTCTTTCCGCCTTCGTAGAAGAGACCTCTTGCTGGGTAGGAAATTTATTCTTTCCTTCAACCTGTGTTATTGGGAAAGTGAAGGAGATTGAAGGTGAAGTAGAGAGGAAATGTAGACAGCAAATCTAGATATGTTTCATTTATGTAGAAAGTTAAAAAGCCACTTTGTGCATTTCCTCACAGGTTTCAACAAACGTGCCATTGATAAGTGCTGGAAGATCAGACACTTCCCCAACGAATTTATTGTTGAGACGAAGATCTGTCAAGAGTGAGAAGCAACAGAAAAAGAGTATCCTTAGTAATAAGTCAGAGATTTACAGTATGACTTCAACATTAAATGTGTGGAATACTCATGATATTTACTCATGCATATACTCTATTGTTTATACAAAAAAAAAAAAGAAGGAAAAAATTAACCAATGCAAGTTCTTGTCGATTTGTAGTTTAATTGGCATTACTTTTTGTTTGAAATTGAAATTAAATAATTCTATGTTTTTCTTTTCAATTTATTGGATTTTGACTTCTAAAAGCAGCATGAATATGTCAGCTAACATCCTGACAATAAATTCCATCTTTTGCGTGTGTGTTTTAAAGTAAGTTCTTTACTCAGTCATATGGTAGAACATGTTTTAAATTCAAAATATTTAAAATTATTTTTCAATGTCTTTTGTAAAACACGTCAAATCTCTTAACATTGCTAAGTTTTGTTTCATTTTTATTTTGTATAATTTTCTTGAATATAGAAATTACATCTTTGTATTTCTGTTAGGTACTCTGTAATACATTTGATTTATATGTAAAAACAATTCATACACAAGTCAGTTTCACAAATGAAGTGATTCTATCTCACTGATATCTGTACTATGAAATACACAAAACTGTACAAGTGTTGAAGAATTTAGGTTGTATGAATTCTACAACCTTATAATAAATTTTACCATATTCAGCTGCTGTTTCTCACTTAATGCAAACAGCATTACTTATTTGACTTTGATATACCTGAAATATATCTAAAATAATGAATTACGCTTTGCCCTTACTCATAGTTCCACACATTTATATTTTGAAATCTCATTTTTTATTTCTCTTTTCATATTATATCACTTACTCTTATATAAATTCCTCATAATTGACATAAATGTAAAGTTAACTATTTGTTAAAAGCCTTCATGTTCAGAACGATTTCAAACATTTTAATGTGTTTTCTTTTTCATAAAAATATAAACAAACATAGAGAGCTACAAAAGGTCACTAAGAACTAACTTGGGACAAGATGTTGACAATTTTTAATAACATCACATATTGTGATCTGTACTCACTTTTCTAAGGGTATAAACCCCAGGGAGAAGGAGTTAATATGGCAGAGAAGTAGGGGGACCTAGATTTCCCTCATCCTTCAAACATAGCTGTCTTGAGGTTGGATCACTTGGAACACCCAGGAAATCAATCTGTGGAGTGGTAGAAGGATCTCCACAGGTGGAGGGAGACAGTTTGGTGGGATCAAGGTGCATATATGTGAATTGGGGGAGGTAAAACGGGGAGGGAACCTCTCTGTGGAGAGACAAAAGGGAGAGAAATAAGGCTTGAGTACAGGGGAAAACCTTTCCAGAACACGGATAGGGAACAAGAAACACAGAGAGTGCCAGCTTCTATTTTGCAAACAGCCTTAGGAGCTGGAACTCGCAGAGTTTGTTTTATTTTTTTATTTTTATTATTTTTTTAAATAGTTTATTGTCAGGTTGGTTTCCATATAACACCAGGTGCTCATCCCCACAAGTGCACTCCTCCATGCCCATCTCCCCCCTCCCCCCCACCCATCAGTCCTCAGTTTGTTCTCAGTATTCAAGAGTCTTAAAGAGTCTTCACAGACCCTCAAACCATGAGAATATGACCTGAACTGAAGTCGGATGCTTAACTGACATACCCTGGTACTCCAAGACATTGGGTTTTGAATACCAGCTGAGTGCCTAGAAGGCGCCGGAGAACTGTGGAACAGGTCAAGCTGACCTCATCATTTGTGCTAATGGTTTGAGACACCCAGCCCAGGGAGAAGAGATTGTGGTGTCCCCATTTTCTCCCCAAAATCAAATGACGGCCCTTCAGGAAACAGCACAGTGGCCCCCAGTGGAGATGCGATCTGCTTACACCAAACTCCACCCCTCGATGTCTGGCAACTGCTTATTTACTGGAAGAAGACTAATTCAACACAGCCAACCTGTCCTCTGGACCCACACAGCCACCAGTCCCAGGAACCAACAGACAACTGCTTGTTTTTTGTTTTGTTTTGTTTATTTATTTATTTATTTATTTATTGTCTATTTTTGTTTTGTTTTGTTTTGTTTTGAATCAGGCTTCTAGTTTCTGATTTGTTTTTGGTCACTTCTTTTACACACACACATATGTGTATATATATATATATTTTCTATTATTTTTATGACTTTTCTATATTCTTTATTTTCCTTTATCTCTCTCTGGATTAAGCCTTAAAGTTTCTTTTGATTCTCTGCTTTATCTTCTTTTCTCCACTTTCATTTATCTCTTTGTATGGAATCAGGCTTCCCCTACACCTTACTTTTTTTTTCCCCCCAGGGCTACTTCAATGAACAGATCAAAGCACACCTGATTGAAGGTCCAAACACTCCACCACTATAAGCAAGGAGGAGCTTTGCAGAGGACTGACCATTGAGATAAGGCAGCCAAAACACAATGACAGAGTGCACACAACACACTCTAAAACACTTCCTGAAGTGCCAGGGCTTAGACAGTATATTATCCTTTTTCAATATAGTAGTACTCAAAGGTCCAGGGCATATAACAAGCTATTAAAACACTCAAAGTGCAGAAACTTAGCCAAAGTGATGAAATGGAAAAATTCTCCTCAAAGGAAAATTCAAGAAAAAATGGTAGCCAGAAAATTGTCAAAACAGATGTAAAGAATATATCCGAACAAGAATTTAGAATAATGGTCATAAGAATAATAGCTGGGCTTGAGAAAAGCATAGAAGGCAAGAGAGAATCTATTGCTGCAGAGAGCAAAGACCTAAGAACTAGTCAAAATGAATTAAGAAATGCTATAAATGAGAAGCAAAATATACTAGACGCAGTGGCAGCAAAGTTAGAAGAAGCAGAGGAGACAATAGGTGAAATACAAGACAAAATAAAGGAAAATGATGAAGCTGAAAAAAGAGGGAAAGGAAATGATTAGATCATGAGTGGAGAATTAGAGAGCTAAGTGATTCCAGGAAATGAAACAATATTCATATCATAGGAGTTCTAGAAGAGCGAGAGAAAGGGGCAGTTTATAGCTGAGAACTTCCCTAATTTGGAGGAGGAAACAGGCATTCAAGTACAAGAGGTACAGAGATCTCCCTTCAAAATCAACAAAAACATGTCAACACAGCAACACATCAGCGTGGAACTGGCAAAATACAAAGATAAAGGGAGATTCTGAAAGCAGCAGGGACAATCAGTCCTTAACCTACAATGGTAGACACATAAGAGTGGTAACAGAGCTGTCTACTGAAACTTGGCAGGCCAGAAAGAAGTGTCAGGAATTATTCAATGTACTGAATACAAAAAAGATACAGGCAAGAATCCTTTATCCAGCAAGGTTATCATTCAGAACAGAGGATATAAAGGCTTTTGCAGACAAAACTAAAGGAATTCATTACCACTAAACCATCTCTGCAAAAGATCCTAAGGAGAACTCTGTGAGTGGAAAGCAGCGAAGACAACAAAAGGTCGGAAACATCACCACAAACACGAAACCTACCAATAACACAATGGCACTAAATCCATAATTTTCAATAATCACTCTGAATGTAAATGGGTTAATTGCTTCAATCAAAAGACATAAGGTATCAGAATGGATAAGAGTATAAATTCCAAACAAAGGGTGCCAAAAGTTTACACTCTTTCTCTTGTATTAGGTTAAAGCTTGTTCCTGATATTGTTAATCATTGCTGGTAGTGGCTATTAATTTTAGTATTCAAAAGTGACCCAGTCATATCTATCGCCCTAAATACTCTTTTTAAAAAATACACTGGGGCGCCTGGGTGGCTCAGTTGGTAAAGTGTCTGACTTCGGCTCCGGTCATGATCTCACAGTTTGTGAGTTAGAGCCCTACATCAGGCTCTGTGCTGACAGCTAGCTCAGAGCCTGGAGACTGTTTAGGATGCTGTGTCTCCCTCTCTCTCTCTGACCCTCCCATGCTCATGCTGTCTCTCCTTCTCTCTCAGAAAAAATAAAAAATAAAAAAACACTAGGGGTGCCTGGGAGGCTCAGTCAGTTGAGTGTCCGACTTCCGGTCAGGTTATGATCTCATAGCTTATGAGTTGGAGTCCTGCCTTAGGTTCTTTGCTGACAGCTCAGAGCTTGGAACCTGTTTCAGATTCTGTGCACCTCTCTCCCTCTGCCCCTCACTCACTCATGCTCTGTGTCTCTGTCTCTGTCTGTCTCAAGAACAAATAAAACATTTAAAAATACACTAAATATTTAACTTAAAAATTTACAAAGATAATAAACACACAAACCTTTAAAACTGGGGAAAAACAGGAAAAATTCGAAAATAACAACAGTACCTAAAAAATTCAAGAACTGGTTCATTACAAAGAATGAGGATATTTGGAAGGAATTTGATAAAGCTAGGCAACCATTTCTCATTTTCAAAAAAAATATATAAGAATTAGGAAAAGGAGATACTTTTAAAAAATTTATCTTAAAAAATCAACATCATGACTAATGGTAAAACACAAGAAAGGATGTTGGCTATTGCAGCTATCCAATGTTGATTAAGACTTCTGGTCAATTCACTGGAAGATACCTTGAGATTAAAAGTAAGGGGATGGAGAAATATATATCATGCTACAGGAAATCAAAAGAAAGCCGGAGTAGCGATACTTATATCAGACAAATTGGACTTTAAACTAAAGACAATAACAAGAGATGAAGAAGGGCACTACATAATAATTACAGGGTCCATCCATCAGGGAGAACTAACAATCACAAATGTCTACGCACCGAATATGGGAGCACCTAAATATCTAAAACAATTAATCACAAACAGAAGCAAGCTTATAGAGAAGAATGTGCTAATAGCAGGGGACTTTAATACTCCACTTACAGCAATGGATAGGTCAACCAGACAGAAAATCACTAAAGAAATAATGGACTTGAAAGACACATTGGACCAGATGGACCTCATTGATCTATTTAGAACTTTACATCCTGAGGCCAGGGAATTTACTTTCTTCTCAAGTGCGCATGACACATTCTCCAAGATAGATCACATACTGGGACATAAAGCAGCCGTCAATAAATATAAAAAAATAGAGATCATACCATGCACACTGTCAGATCACAATGCTTTGAAATTGAAATCAATTACAGGAAGAAGTCTGGAAAACCTCCAAAACCA